GGAGTAGCCAACAGCCATGGCCACATGGGTCTATTTTTTATACAAAAAACGCTACAAATCAAGAATAATGACGACTATTGCATAAAGTCGCACCCGAAGCCGAAGCAATGCGAAGAAAAAAATTAGATTCGCTAAAAATTGGCCACTTGTCTTAAAAAGTCCAATGCTCTGCTCACCAAGAATGTGATACGAAGCTATTAGAAAAACCCAGTCAAATGAAAACGTCTGTCCTCTGTAGAATTCCACACAAAACAATGCAAACGAATGCAATTTCCCAATTTTTCCCATACGATCATCGCTAATTGAGGGTACTTACCATTGTGACGCTGCAAATATTGATAGGTATGTATCTTTGTTGTAAGGACTAGTCCACCTTGCGATTGTCTCTTCGCCAGAAAAGAAATATGATGTTACAGGCACTGCTTTTTTTGCACTTTTCCTTGACTCCAGTTAATCCAAGTGCCACTCGAAAAATCACAGGTTGCTAAAACTAATATCTAGATGCACATAACCATATAGCCATTTTCAGCCACGCGTTGACTTTTACTTGAGTATAATTAACACCACAGCAACAATATAGTGCAGGGTATATTTTATCGACACGATAGCAATGTTTTGGATTTACTACATTCCTTTAAAAATGTACTTTCACCAATATCTTCCTGGTAAAATTTATTAATTTTTCAAGAAAAGAACAGCACCGACATTGCAGAGTAGACCCGAATGACAAATTGTAAGCGGCTTTAGCAAGGCGAATTTAGTTAAGAAATACACTCTCTCTAGCAAGGCGAATTCGCCGCAAATTACCCACCGAGGCGCGCTATTTGACAGCTGTCAGCNTTTTGAATAATTTTTTTTTCGAATTACAAAATTAAATTACACAAATAATTTTTTATCAATCACAATAAAAATTTGACTTGCGAAAATAAACAAACAGAATGTAAACAAAACTATTCATTTTGACAATCACGCACCAAACAGCTCAATTCGCCTTGAATCAGCTGATGAATCAACACCACCTTATATATATTCGCCTTGCTGTCAGCTGTTTCGAAAAGTGTAAATAGAACAGTGCTTCAGGAGCATGTCTTTGCTGAAAATATACATCACATTTATGCATAGAGATGCAACATCACTTTCAAAAACATCGATGCTCCCACAACAAACATCGATATTAAAAAACATCGGTTATAAAAACGATACCTCGATGTTTTACCATTTTTATCTTAATTTTGACCTTTTCTATCCGAATTTTTGGGAAAAGCCGCTAAAAATCGTCTTGATTTTTAACGAATTGGTTTTACTGACGGGGGTTTGCACATTTTAATATATAAAAGTAAATTTCTTGCAGAATTAAATGCGAGAATTTTTTAAAACATTCAGGGGAAAATTTTAGTTTGGCATACCAGTAGTGCGATTCCCATTTTTCTTAACGACAATATTCGTATCGTTAGCTAACGATTCCGACAAGTTTCGTTAACTGCAATTCTCAAGCACGCTTTTAGCGAATATTGTCGGAAGCTTTGACAGTTGTCTAACGAAATTTGTCGATAACCTAGCTACGAATATTTTGCCGTTGAAAAGCCTACCGATAAAATTGTTTCAAGTTTTTATTGAGAAAAATTAGGCCAAATTCATCGGTAAGCAAACTATTATCATAAAAAAAAACTCATAAATAAAAATTTATCTCATATAGATGTGCTTTTTATTATTGTTCCTTTTATTTATTACACTGTGCAAGTTGAAAACATTGGCTAAGGTTTTGAAAGTTATCTCACTTAATTGGGCATTCTAAATTTTGTTAGATTGGCTCCAGTTTTCGAGATAACAATACTTGAACATTTGCTTCAACTTTAACTTGTTTGTAAATAAATCAGTTTTAGTGTTGTTTCAATAAAATGTTTAACATGGCTATTTTTTATAGTGAAGGTTATATTAAAAAAAAAGTCACGTGAAAAAGTTTGGTAAAATGACTTTAACGGACTTTGTTAGAGTTATTTATAAAAATCTTTAAATTTAAGGAAATTTTCAAGTACCCTTACGTCGAAAACTAGAGCCAAAGCTGAATTTTTAGACGTGGAAAGCATAATGTCAAAATGATGTGTTTGTTGTAATTCATACTGTAATTGTGCGTATAATTTGTAATTTTTTACTTATATACGGCTTATACCCCCTTATTAAATTCGCCTTGCACGAGGCCGTTATTGCCAAATAAGCAGTCCAGCATCGTATGGTACTGCTCCGTAGTAGCTCCTGCTCTTCTTTTTTTCATATTGGCTGAATTTCTTTATTCATTCTGAACGTTTGGAATAAACTTTTTCGTTTACTTATTCTTTAGAACGTTCCTGATGATATGTTAACGTATATTTCAAACGCATTCTTTTTATTCCGGCTGTGAAATGAGATTATCCGGAATGTATAAAGAAACGCAGCCATTGTATTCACAAACAACAATTCCGACACAATAATACGCGCAACAATAACAAGTTTCTTTTAAATATTGAGTGTCAATCGTCAATATTGCCATATTCGGCTTTGTAATTAACGACAATCGTCGTAAACTTCTTTATCGACATGTCTAACGAATTCTGTCGTTAAGTGTGTTTTTGAGAATAGCCTATTCGCTACTGCAAGCTACAAACGTCGTTCATTATCAATAACGAATATCGGTCGTTAAGAAAAATGGGAATCGCACTACAGGGGTACCAAATTATTTTTGCATAGAATTCCTTTCTGCGTAGGCGGCCTTCGGCCGCGGTTAAGGAATATAACCCTTACCAAATAGAATTCTCCTTTTGGTATGATGTAGCCTTGGGAAAGGATGAGGTAACTAGAATTCCCTTTCTGTGTGGTAAACCTGGGGCTGTCGGCCCAGTGATGTCTATTATGGTTACTGGTTACTATGTCCTTTAGTACTAATTTAACGCTGAACACAAAAACGAGTAAGATAAGAACTGGTCTCTTTTATTGTTATTTTCTTAGATGTGGCAGCACTCTTCTAATGTCAGTGTGAATCCATGGTTGAAACCATGATTCAATAATTAAAGGCTCTGTCAAACGGTCAGTATTTACTGACGTGATCCAAGTATCGCGATATTTATTGACGGTGTAGCATGCAGTATTGATGGATTACGATCCATATCGCAAAATTTCTAAAAAATTTGAAATCTGGATCGCGGATCGCAATACCGTCAATAAATATTGAACGTGTAGTACTTTCAAAACGCGATCCATACATTTCGCCAGTACATCTTTTACTCTCATAATGCGAACATCGAAAACGTATTCGCTCTGCCTGCGCCCTCGGCGCTTAAAACCTTTCAAAAGAAATTCAAAAAATTTTAATTAACATTGGAAATTTTAAAATAATTGTGGAATGCATTATCTGTAACTTATACGCTCAAAATAGAAATATTTTCTGGCGTCATAATAAGCTTTCAGCACAAAAATTATGCATATACTGACGCGATAAACATTGAACATGTAGCATTCGTGCGCGATCCATCAATCCATCAATATGGATCGCGATCCAAATATTCTGATAATTACTGACCGTGTGACAGGGCCCAAAGGTTTGCTCATTAGCAGGGTGTCCAGATTGTTTACATAAAAAGCGCAGTTTCTGAAAAAAAATCGCCAAAAATCGCATTTTTTTTTAATAAAATTCCTGAAATCAATTTAACAAGTCTTTTATTTTAAAAATGAGATCTTGTTATAATATAGTTTTCAAAACCAAAAACGAATATAATACCTTCAGAGGGTAATAATAAGTAACACAAATCACTTATATAATAGTGATGTACAAACTATTTTCTTTAAAACACGCATACTTTTTAAAAACATTTGTTTCAATACATTTTCAATAGGACTGCGCAATAATTGAATTTATAATAAATCACATTCATTGATTAATCGCACAATCCGCTTTTAAGAGCTCGGCGCTAGAAATTAAATAAAAACCTATAATAAGGCGAGATCAGCTATTTCCACAATTTTTTTAAAATCACCTGTAGTGTCTTAATTATTTACATTTCTGTTGTTGTCATATATTGAGCTATTCAACCTTGATAACATAATGTTTGATATTGGAAACGTTTTGCAGCAGAACCAATTAGCCTTCATATAACACTTTATTAGAACTATTGAGTTAAGGCTTTCCAACCTCATCCTATTTCGAATCTTATGGGCTGTTTTTGCTTACGCGTAAATGTACATTTAGCGCATTTAGCTCTAAATGCTACTCTAAGGGCCGGNGTCAAAAGCATACGATTTCGAACTCGCGTAAATGTACATTTGCTAAATGCGATAGCATGAACGCTCTTCGAAAACATATGTTCGAAAGTGCTAAATGCTGCATTTTAAATGCAGCAAAAACGCTGCATTAGTTTTTGTTGAATTCATTACGGAAAAAAATCGAAATTCGTAACAATGGCATGCCTAAAAACGAACGAGTAAGCTTTTTTGCATAATTTTGTACGAAAACAATTCTGTGTCGGAGGGGAAATAAAATTTATAAATCGATGTGTGTTTGCAAGAAATATCGGTGGTGTTCATTTAAACAGATAAATTTGCCTTTCGCATATACGAATATTTTTATCCACTGCTTTATATAAACGAGCAAAAAAGAATATTTGTTGTCCCTTATCGAGAAACTTGGGTCCGGTTTAGTTAATGTACAACGATTTTCGGTTGTTGTGTCCAAGCGCATAACCCGAATCCAAAAACTTTAACATACACGTGTAATCAAAGGATTCTCATTTTATTTAATGCCCGTATGATACTACGTTTTTTCTTGTATTTCGAGTGTATTTTACGCTGTATTTTGAAAGAAAGAGAAGGTCACATACAATTTCAGTACTTGTGTAAGCGAGTAAGCTATATACCAAAAAACAAACGAAAAACAAACTAGGTTGTTAAAAACAGTCCGGCCAACTTGTATTTCGTTAGGTTTTTTTGACAGATGGCTGTATTTCGTTAGTTTTTTTACACAGCTGTTTGCATTTTGACATACGAGAGATTTTCTAAGCATACAATGGAAATACAAGTTTTATCTATTGCAACAAATTGTTTGCTAAACGCTGCTGCCTTAATACAGCGTAGGAAAAAGAAAAAGACTAAAAAAAAATATTCTGCGCAATGGCTTTTAAAAAGAGAACTGGAAGGTAAGTTTCGAATTCCACATTATATACACATGTATATAGTTCGTTTTTGTAATTATCAAAAATACTTTTCATAGGATTTAGCCATAAACTGTTAAAGGAAATTGAGTGCGAGGATTCAATCCTTCACAAAAATATCTTAAGAATGACTCCAGCTCAGTTTGCATTCTTATTAGAAAAAGTACGCCCCTATATTAGCAAGCAGGATACAAAATTCAGGAACTGCATAGGAGCTGCGGAACGGCTGCAGCTGACATTGCGATATCTATCCACTGGTAAGATATAATATTTTCTTGGTAATTTTTAGTACCGACATACATATGTATGTACATATTTCCAAAATTAGGTGAAACCCAAAGGTCACTTCAATTGCCGTTCCGAATTCAGCAGTCAACCATTTCCAGAATTTTAAAGGAATCAATTCCCGCAATATATTTGGCGTTAAGGGAGGAGTATTTGAAATTCCCTGCAAGTGAGCAAGATTGGCGTGATATTGCAAAAGACTTTTATCAGATGTGGGGATTCCCGAACTGCATCGGCGCTTTAGATGGTAAACTAACAATTAACACTTTTAAATTCACTCAACTGATGAAACGTCTCAGGAAAGCATTGCAGAATACTGCCAGTGAGGAAAGCAGGATCTACGTATTTCAATTACAAAGGATACCATTCATTTGTATTGATGGCAATCGCTGATGCCCACTATCGTTTTATTTATGCTGATGTCGGTGTTAATGGGAGAGTGGGTGATGCTGGAATTTGGTTGAACTCGGACCTGAAATACGCTATTGAAAAAAATGAAGTACATATACCAGCCCCATGCACGCTCCCTTTCATGTCAACTCCCTCGCCTTTTGTGCTTTTAGCCGATGATGCCTTTGCTCTAAAAGACTACTTAATGAAACCTTACTCTCATCTAAGACTATCACCAAGCGAACTTAAATACAACAACATACTTTCGAGGAACAGGCGCGTTGTTGAAAATGCTTTTGGCATTCTTGCGAACCGTTTTCGAGTTTTATTTTCACCCATCCATCGCGCTCCAGCTGCAGCCATTCAGATTGTATTATCTTGCGTATGTGTGCACAACTTTTTAAGAACAGAAAATGTGAAAAAGAAAACTACGTTTGACGCCATTTCCGAAAGTGAAATAGATGCAATAATAGATAACAACTATACAACAACCGCTTCTGAAAGAAATGCGTCAAAAAGGAGCGCTGAAGAAATAAGAAAAACTTTCGAAAACTATTTTTCTGCGGTAAATTAAAATATCGTTTCATTGTTTAAATAAACCAAAACTTTTCGTGTTGGAAATTTTCCATACTAGTAGAAGCAACAATTGGTTTATTTGGTGATTAAATAAATGAGTACAATGTCTTCAATTTATGTACATACCTACTAGCTAATACCTGCCTACTTAGCGGTGCACCGTGAGTAGTACAAACACTGTTACATTTTTGATTCAATTAGAGCAACCAAATATTTTAATGAAAGTAATAATACATACTCACTCGGCAAAATAATAACTCTGCCTCCTTTCGTAAAGTTTGACTATTTTCCTTTTGTTTATTGAACTTTAATAATTTACTTATAAAAATACACCCCATTAATTAAAAATCTTTAAACTTGGCAATATGTGGTGCGTTTATAATTATGACACGGGATGTATAGTTAACTCTACAAACAAAACCATATCAATAAAACTTTTAAACTTTAAACGAAATTCAGGAAAACTCATCAAAATTTCGATTTTTTTCTTTTAAATATTAAAAAGAAAATTGCATGTCTGTGTAGATGTGTAATTTTTATGTATTAAATGGCAAATTTCAAGTGGGTTAAGATCACCGTTAATTTTGGGTATTGGTTTTTTTAAGCTGAGGGCGCCGCAACAACCCATTTTGTTTTTGAAATACTTAAAAGGAAGTTCGAAATTGTTATGTAATTTTATGCATTTTCTTGAATTTTGTTTAAAGTTTAAAGCTTCTAGTGATATGTGTTTGGTTGTAGAGTTAACTAAAGTTTTATAAATAAGTTATTAAAATTCAATAACCTACGGAAAATGGTCAAAACATGACAAAAAGGGACACTCCTATTTTTGTCTATGAGTGTACATACATACATATAAATAGTCATTGTGTTACATAAGCCCATTCCGTTTCAATTGCTCGCTTTGCAGATTCATCAAAATGTCATGCATTTGTTTCTTCGCTTTGAGTTGCAAGTCGGGGTCCAGTTTTACAATTTCTTCACCCATGTATATCCCAAAACTGTTTGCCTTTTCGTCAGTGTTATTTGTTTTTGATGCAACATGAAAGGCATTTGTTAAATTTTGTGATGCTTCGATTAAAGCAGAGGCGTTTTCATCCAAATCATTATTAATTTTTGTTCTTCGTTTTCTTGTTGCATGGACCAACTTTCTAGTGCTATTGTTGTTATTGTCATCAAACCGACCACAGTTTTGCGAAGTAACCAGAGGTGGAGTTACAATCTCATCCGATATGATTTTAATTGGTGTTGAATCACTATTAGTGTCTTCTGTAGAGATGTAGCCTGGATCGAAACATTCTGCAGGCTGCAGTTGCTCCCCAAGCTTACGCGATGGATTGGGATCAGGGTCCAGGTTCTACAAGAGAATGAAAATATTAAGCAAATTTTACGTAGCACGCGAATCGACGCTTTGCCCGGTTTCACACAATAAAAGTCGTACCTGCAAACTCCACTTATTAAAATTATTCACTGATGGTGTATGCTCATTCACATGTTGTAGGAATTTCAAAGCTTCATAGAACTTCCAGCTGGTCTGTACGTTTTCGTCTCCGCCGGCACCGCTTCTCTTTGCCTTGTCCATCCTCTGCTTCTCTGAACTGAAATATGACTTGATGTTGCACCACTTGTGCGTAACTTCATCTTTAAATACATATATGTATTATACAAACATATAATATATCTTTTAGTTATTACATGTGAACTTGCTAAAAACTTACCGTATTGAAATGGTACATTTGCTGTGAACGTTGAGTTCATTTCATCCACCAAAGCGAGCCAAAACTGCTGCTTTTTATATTTGTGCTTATATGATGGTAGCATATGATTCCATATATATTCTGCACCGTGGACTTTGTCAATTAAATGGAATACGTAGTTGTCTTGCCACTTTAATTTCATTTTTATTGTTACAAAACTGTTTTACATCAATTTTAATTTCGTTTATTTGAATTTCGGTAATGAAACGTCAAAACTCAGCTGTTCTTCACACAGAATTTGTCTTCCTCTAACACATTGCCGAATAGTTATTGTAATTTGACTTTCGACAGTTTTTTTGTTTGTATTTCAAATGAAAAATACAGGAAAAAAACATAGTATCATACGGGCATAAGATAAATGTTTCAAANTAATGTATTTAAAATTTATCTTAATTTTTAAGTTTTAGTAGCACTTAATTAGTGTTAGCTGAGTAGTCTGTAAGAATATTCTGTATTCCAAGACGGAAATAAATAAATAAATAAATAAATAAATAAATAAATTTCCTACTACTAGCTTATTAATAAACTCGGTTTGCATTATGCACTTTTTTGCAAATTTCGACGTGGGTTCTGCGCAAAAATATTGTGGATGGCGTAGCCGGAGTGATATGCACAAGAAGTGTTGTATACCTTTGACATGCTGAAGCCCTTCTTCTCCTGCAACACAGAAAGGAGAATTCTACTTAGTAAGGGTTATAATCCCTAAGCGCGGCCGAAGGCAGAAGCAAGTGCACCAGGTGGTGGACCTAACAAAGTGCATGTCTTCAATGGCTTGGAAGAAGCTGTTATTGCATTAACTGGATTGAGTATCAGAGCTTACGAAAATTCGGGTTCTAGAATAAGGATGTAAATCTGAAGACACCACCCTCCGGAGGCTTATAGTTTTTAAGTAATTCGCATTTAAAGTTGCAAAAAATACCGAATTCAACCTTACTTTTTCCCTTGTACACCAACTGAACTGAAATGTCGGTGCTGGTATACATACCAAAAAATGCAAACAAAAAAACACAAAACGTAAACAATTAAAAAATGCACATAATTTGGCGCGATATTTTATTAAAAATTTTAATTATTTATAGCGCGATTTATCGAAGTATCGATGTTATAATAAGAAGCGCCGTAGGGGAAAATGTTTAATAAAAAATCATGCGATTTTTAAATAAAACTTTTCATTATTTATCGAAGTAGCGATTTAAAAATAAAAGGCGCCGCAGAGGAAAATTTTTTATTAAAAATCGCGCGATTTTTGGAATTTTTGGTTTAAATTTATTTTTTTCCTTTTCAGTAGGGTTTTTGTGCACATTATCTTCTCCGTGAGAATTGATCGTAATAGATACGGATCTGAATAAGTGACTGGAACTCGGCTGTTTGTCAAAAACATAAGATTTCGAACTCGCGTAAATGTACATTTGCTAAATGCGATAGCATGAACGCTCTTCGAGAACATATGTTCGAAATTGCTAAATGTTGCATTTTAAATGCAGCAAAAACGCATCCAAGGTTCAAGAAAAATGCTTTGACGGATGAAGAAGTTTTTCAGAGGGGAGATTCTGTAACCAGTTAGGGACAAGTTTCGAATCGATATCGTACTTGTTGACGTAAAATTATTTCATATCATATGTCAACAAAACCGATACCGATTCGAAAATTGTCGCCAACTGGTTACAGAATCTGCCCCCACGCCTACAAAAATGATATCGTCCGATTCAACTGGAACAAAAATGCTTCAAACAAGTAAGGCTTTCTGCACATTGGTCGTCCAATCATAGTTGCTTCATCGTCACAATCATGATGCAACGATTACATGACGACTACACTTTCGCACACGCGGTCGTGATATTTCAATTCATTTGGCGTCTAAAAATTCACTTGGAGCAAAAACCTGCAATGTTTAAAATATGGACTGTGCTGCAACAATTCTAGACATCATTTTTCAGTAATATCTCCTCTTTTCTTTTCTTGAAATGTGTTTTGTGCATGCACACAGAGGCTTTTTACAATTTCGTCATATTTTATAGTTAAAACGCTCACATTTATTGAATTTTAATGCAATTATCCACTTTTTATTAATTTCCACAGATTTTAAGCAAAAAATACTAATTTTTATACCATTTTAATGCAAATATTAACTCTTTCACTAATTTTTCCCCATAAAATGTAAACAAACAATGCGTGCACAACGATTAGCAAGCGACAGTGCCGTACTTATCCGTTTCTGCATCTTCTACGATATGCCGATAACTAGCCGATAACGACAAGTGTGCAGATCTCCTTTGAAATGCATGTGCTCGGCTCAGGGCGAGACGATAACGCAACTATGATTGGACGACAAGTGTGCAGATAGCCTAAAAGTTACTCTGTGTTATGGCCTCAAACCGACATCTTTCATTCGGGTTTTTTTAGGCGAGTCTCCCCTGAACCGTTCTTTCCATATTTTTGGCCTATGTACGCTTTTATTCCAAACCTAAATGTTTCGGTACCCAGTATCGAGACCATTGGTTCTTTTTAAATCGGTACCGAACATCGATCAATACTTAAAAGTATTAACTCAGCACATCACTACTGCTGTCAACTCGACTGTGACGTCAGCAAGACAGCTGATTCTGTCAAATTCACTGAGAGCCGATTAGCGGTATTGCCATCGGCGCCACCTTCTGTATTCTCTCCACCGTGGATACCACATCAACTTCTGTACTCACATTAAATAAATTTTGGCTATGAAAATAATCTCTTCGAGCAGCGCGAGACAAAACTATGTTGTAGAAAAGTTGAATTACTTCCTCCCAGTTCTCTGATCTGATGTTTAAAAATAAATATTTTCCGTTTATCTGGCGAAATCAACTACAGTTGTGTTACTTTGATCACCGTTTTGTATCATTTGTATGCCCCTTCACAAAGGAGGGGAGGTATTGGACCAGTTGCCCGCAAAAGAAAATGCATTGAAATGTCAATAAAAACAAATAAGAAAGTCTAAGTTCGGGCGGAGCCGAACATTAAATACCCGGCGCAAGTATTAAATATATGTTTTCCACCTTTCCGAAAGCTATCGCTACATGATAAGCCGGCGTGTATAAATTTTAAGTAAACTAGCGTCCTTAAATTTCAAAACATTGAAATTTCAAGCATTTCTTAAATTTACCGTTATATGAAAAGCGGCCGTAATTTTAGTCCAATTTCAACAATTTTCAATGGTTTACTTTTATGTGGCAAGCACAATAACCATACCGAGTTTGGTACAAATTGCTAGAACGGCTAGCGAGATACATATACGTGATCATAAGTGGGCGGTGCCCGCCCATTTTCCAAAATTTTATCATAAACGTATTTCCTGGCAAAGAATTGTTGCAACCATCATTTTG